ATATTTATTTATACACATGTGTTAAAAATATGAATTCATATGAGTGTGTCCAGTTCCAAGCTAGCACCAAATAAATGGCTTGGTCTAGGAGTCCCCATTGYCTTTGACAATGACAGTGAGAAACCTGGTTCTTTGCTGGGTTCGGTGGCATACACTTGCAAACCAGCAACTTAAGAGGCTGAGGCAAATTTTGATGCCAGCCAGGGTTACATATTGGGAACCTATCTCAAAACGAAAAAGGACTTGGGATGTAGATCGGTGAGAAAACACCCCTGGGTTTAACCCACAGTTCCACAAATAAAACAACAACAACAACAACAACAAAAAAAAAAAATAGAAACTTGGTTCTTACCCAAAATTTATTTGCTGGTTTGATCAGCTATATAGTAACCATATAAGGTAGTTTCAGAATTATTAGTATGTATCTCTATGGGAAAAATAATTACTAATTTTTATGCAGTTATTTGCTATTGTGATTTTAACTGTAGAAAAMCTCATTAAAATTCTGTTTTTCAAATTTAATTCTTTGTTTTCTTCAGTGTGGCTTTGTCATTTATTTAGAATAATGTTCTACACCCTGTTATCCTTTGTATTTCATTTTGGGTTCTAGCCACCTCTGGATGGATTTTATTTTTTAGTGTTTTGAGTTACTAGAGTAACACGATTCTGTAAGTCAGAGTATAAAAAAGTTTACACAGAGAATGTCACTACCCTACCCTGATCTTTTTACTCCATTCCCATTCACCCATTTTTTATTCATCCTGTTTCTACCCATTTTCTTGCAGGTAATTTATTTGTTCAATTTTTGTTTTATGCTTTAGTTTTTTGTTTTTGTTTTGCATGAATGAAAAAATATACATGTATTTTATTATTTTATTCCCTATACAAAACATGGCATATAATAATATCTATTTCGCACTTTGCCTTTTTCACTTCCCAGTTTATCTTGGAAATCATTCAGTATTCGTTCGGAGAGCTCTTGTTTATTACACCTACCACTGGTGCTCTATTATATAGGTAGTTCATAGTTTATTCACCATGTCTCTAATAGTGCAAGATTYTTATTTCTAATATTTTGCGGTTTCAAAAAAAATGCTATGAAAACCTTGGAAAAGTGCATTACTTTGTGAAGTATACCTTTGGGATAAATAGCTAGAAACTGGAGTAGTGGGTCAGGAGATGAACAGTAAGTGTAGTTTTGTAGGATGTTGCCAAATTGAACTCAACAAGAGTTTTTCCAGGCTCCATTACCACGACCATGTATAAAAAGCGCATGTTTTCTGAAGTCTCCCCCAAAGAATATGTTGTCTAGCTTTTTAATCTGTGCCAGCATCATAGGTTAGGAATAATATGTCAGTGGTTAATTTGCATTTCACTGTCTGATTTTTTTTGTATATTTAAGGGTCATTTTCACTTATTGTTTGAGGATAAATAGTTCATGTATTTTTCTCTATTTAAAATTGAGGTTATGCGTTTTCTTCAGTTTTTAAAAGTCTTTTATTAAAGTTAGAGATTGTATCTCTTTGTGGTGTATGTTGCTTCTTTAATTTTTTTTCTACTTTTATATCAGGCTTTATATTCTAGTTTTATATCAGGTTTGCCATGGGTTTTTAAAAATATTTTTATTTTCCTATTTTTATCTGTTTATTCCTTTCTATTTAACATTGTTTTAGGTATTTTTCTTGAATCTAGTAGGTAGCTGGGTCATGCTTTGTGTCCAAATTTAACATCGTTTTTCCCCTTTAAGTGTCATTCCGAATTAAGTTTATTTGCATTTATTGATACAATGGCTGTTTGATCTCAACTTGTCATAATATTTTGTGGCTGTGCATTATTTTATATTGGTTGGTTGTTTTTTTTTATAAGATGTAGGTTATTTTGCTCTTGAATTAAACTTTTTGTTGCTATTCAGAACGGTTATATACTTTTTTAATGATTGCTTTTATATTTACTTCTTTTAAACACCTTACTGTACTGCTTTCTTAACTTTTTATAGTCTAGTTTGTTTTTAAGATATTGTCTAACTATTGACTACATGATAATCAATGATTGTATTMTATATTCTGATTTTTAGTTATATTATTTCTACTTTGTTGGATCATGTTACATGTAAAAATTGTATATTAGTTATCCAACTTAATCTCCAGCTTTGTTATAGTCAAATCTGCAATTTTATTTTATTAATATTCTCCATATTAGCTTTTATTTCTCTCTCTCTTTTTTAAATTTTTTTTTTAGTTGTACTTATTTATTTTTATGTGGTGCTGAGGATTGAACCCAGGACCTCACACATGCAAGGCAAGTGCTCTACTACTGAGCTACAGTCCCGGCCCCTCTCTCTCTCTCTTTCTTTTTTTCTTTTGCTGAAAAATTCCCATTTATTTTTTGCTTACGTGAAGTTCTTGCATTGGTAAATTTTCAGAAAGATCTCCCTGATAATGTAGCATCCCTGTGTCTTTAGGCWTTTTCTATACCCTTGATCCTTTAAGGACAACATTGATGGATATAAAATTCTTGGTTCATACAGTTTTAAATTGAGTTGTTTGATAATGTGGCTCTACTGTTGCCTTGTTGTTTTTGTTTTAATTTATTTTTAGTTGTAGTTGGATGCAATACCTTTATTTATTTATCTATCTATCTATTTATTTATTTATGGTGCTGAGGATCCAACCCAGCGCCTTGCATGTGCTAGAGGAGCGCTTACCACTGAGCCCCAGCTCCAGCCCTTGTTGCCTTGTTTTGTTTTTACTTTTGAAGAATTTCCCTTGCCCCTGTGATTCTTACTCATTTATTTTATTTTAGTTTTGTTTTCCTAGAGGCCRTGAGGGCTTTTCCATTGTTATCTTTTCAGTTTAATAGGTTAGCCATTTAGTCCTCCTTAATTTATTTTCTCAAGTTCTCACTGTCTTTATTTTCCCATCAGTGGCATTCCATCATGTGACTTTTCTCTTCTGGGGACTTCAGTTATATAAACACTGTCCCTTCTTTGCTTCTCTTCCATTTCTGCCACTTATTCTCTCTGCCTGTTGTTCATTTTAAAATTTTGAATTGTCTCTTCCCTTCATTGCTTTTCTGCTTTTCTTCAGTGTTCCTTATTAAATATCCATTGACTCCATTGTCTCTTTTGTACTTTACAATTTGAAATTGAGTTTTGAGAAGATTTAATTTCTTCTGTTTTATTCCTGAATCTGATCAATTCTCCTTGCAATTTTTTTTTCACTCATATATTTGTTGTTAATTTTTGAGATTGGACTCGAGTGACTCACTGTGATGACTGGTGATGTTAGATCAGCCTACCACCTCACTCTTTTCTCTCTTCTTTCTTTCCTTAGGTTTTCCTCGGCTTGCACTTGATTTCCTCAAAGGCTCCTAGTGGATTAAGAATAGCATTGTTCCCTCCCTGGGTACCTTTTTATACAGTTATTTTGATGCTCAGGAATTCCGTTTTTCACATTATGCTGAAGGAATGGTATTTAATTGTTTCATTTGTTCTTTTGTTGTGACAAGACTTTGGCACTTGTCATTGTATTTGATGCCTGTGACAGGATCTTTTTCTGAATTTTTTTTTTTTTTTTTGGTAGCGGGGACTGAACTCAGGGGCACTTAAACACTGAGCCAATTTTCCCCAACCCTATTTTGTAAATAATTTTTTCTGGGCATTTAAAGGAACTGCCAGTCTTGGTTTGGCTTAATCCATTTTCACAGCCTGAGGCTCTCCCTATTGCCCAGGGAATGACACCTAACTGCAGGTATACACAAGGACTAGGTTGTGTTCTTCCTTATGATGAGGATGATTCCTTTAGGGCTGTTTGTTTCAGACACTCTGACTTGGTCAGACGCTGGGTTTCACTTTTGTCTCACTTGCTATTTTAAGTTGTCACAACCAGTGTTCAATTTTTCAGTTGATATGTTGTACCGGTAGGCAAGATATTCCCAGTGGCTTTGTGCTAGGCCTTTTTTCCTGGTTTTATACTTTCTCACAGAGTTTTGTTTAGTAATTTCTATTTTATTACTTTTTCAATGCTCTTGCCAATTGTTTAGTAGCAKTTATCAGGAGAATTCATTCTAATAATCGAACTCAGCATTATTAGAAATGTCAGTTGATTAATTCTTTAAATAAAAATGTTTGTTATTTTTTTTATTTCATGGGACTTCTGGTGGGAAGGATGATAGATTCATATACACAATTCTCTTTGTTACTCAAACTCCTAGCTCAGGTAGAGACCTACTTTTTTACCACAGATGGACAAAAAAGTAGGTCTTTACCTACTTTTATTGGTAAAGCAACTTTTGACTACTAGTAGCTATGATTGATAGTGATGATGATAATGATGATAATGAGGAAAATTTATTTTGCCATTGCACTATGCCAAGTACTCTGTATTTTCATGTATTATTTTATTTATCATAAAGTGTGTTGAATGTTATCTCATTTTATAGATCATTACCAGAGGCATATCTACTAGATTTCTTGCATGTGTTCACATGGATCCTAAGTGGCAGAAATGTGGGGCAATTCCTGTCCTGGGCTTTGGAAATAAAAGAGTAGCAAATTCCAGCATGCTTCCTGCCTTTGTGGACTTCACAGGTTTTGATTCCCAGACAATACTTTCTTACCTAGTCCCAGGTCACACTACATGGACATTGTGGGATAGTTGGGGATATCATTTTTGAGTCTGAAAGCCTGATTCATTTGTGTTTTCACTAGAATTGAGGATACTGTCTCTAACTTGGAAATGACTATAACTTTACACAAATGTAAAACAGAGAGAGGTCAGCAAAGATGAAAACAGTCTCTTAATTCCCTAGACTCTCTGCACCATGTAGCATAGAGCTTTACCCAAAGTTGCTTCTAAGTGGATGTTAATTTGGGTGTTTTTGTTAAGTATGAGATATAGTTTTTATTGCATATTAAAACAGATTAAATTTTGTGTTTTAGCTGGATTTCTATATTATTTCAACTGGCTTTGTGTATTTATTCTTTTCCTTTTGGTTTACAGTTATTTGCTGATATAAAGGATGGAGACTGCCTGAAGCTCTTTGAACAAAGTTCTCGCTCTGCTCATAAGCAAGAGACACATACCATGGAGGCCTTGAAGCTTGTAGAGTTTGACCTTAAGCAAACTCTCAGCAGGCTTGTGACACACCTGTTTGGAGATGGTAGGTACTCAAATGTCTTTGTKTTAGGCTTAGATGTCCAGTAATTACCATCTTCGAAGTCATAAAGGTTGAATCTAGATATTTTGTTTAAGTGGTGGCATAATGGTTTCAGTTCTACTGGGATACAACCCATGMATTTCTTGGTTTATCCCATTTAAACTCAAGAGGATATGAAAGTAGAATTAAGTAGAGAAGAAAAATGTTTATAGCCTTCAATAAGAAAGATGTTAAGAAGATGTGAGGGAAGGGGAGGGGGGATAGTAGAGGATAGGAAAGGTATCAGAATACAACAGTTACTAATAGGGCATTATGTAAAATTGTGGATGTATAACCGACATGATTCTGCAATCTGCATTTGGGGTAAAATTGGGAGTTCATAACCCACTTGAATCTAATGTATGAAATATGATATGTCAAGAGCTTTGTAATGTTGTGAACAACCAATAAAAAAAAAAAGAAAGATGATGGCTTAGGATCAGTGTAATCAGTGGAGGGAGAGTATACTAGCTAATTAGTGTTATTAGTATATTATTATTAGATCAGACTTTAAATGTGACTGAGCCCAATGGAAAATTTTATATGGTAGTATGTGATTACTACTATCAACAACAAAAATATTAATGGTGAATTTCCTGTTGGTGGACCAATATTGTTAACATCTGGACTCTCACTTTAGTCATCATTATGCTTATTGTCAAATGCATAATTCATGTAATATTTAAGAAACCACTAAAGAATCATATAAATTCTTTATATACACACAATGTTAAAAATAGCAAATCAATTTTAGGATAATATCCTTTCTAGGAGATGGGGAATTGTATTAGGGGGTAGAAACCAGGCTTTAAGTGTGTTAATAATTGTTGTATTTTTTTTAAAAAATATGAAGTTAAATATGACAAAATGTTATGATTTGATAAACTGAATATGGGTGTGTGGATGGTTGCTATTTTCTACCCCTGCCTCTAGTTGTGAAATATTTCATATTAAAGTAGTATAATGCAACAGTAAAAAGGGTTTCAGGTAGAGAGTTTTGATGTGAAAATTCTATTATAGCCAACTTCTCTTTACTTTCATGACAAAAGAAAGGAATTGTTATATTTTTAACAGTAATATCATCTAACACTGAAATACAGAGAAATGGATTATAGTGTTCACACCATTTTAGAGGAAGGTTGGGATAGGAGGGATTCTAGTACTTTTAGGAGATACTATTCTGTCTCAAGTAGCTATACAGAGTCAGGCTCATCTGAATTTTTCCCTTGTCAAACTATGGAAAGAGATTTTTAGAATCCTCCTTTTTTATGCATTCCTACACATTTCTGCAATCACATTTTGTTAATCTCACAATTTAGTATTTGTGAGATTAACAAACTGGATTTTCAAGGAGTTGCAGGCATCATGGTATATAATAAGCTAGATATAATCCTTGTYTTCAAGAAGCCATAGATCTTAAATCCTCTGCTAAGAAACATTAAGTGTTCTGTGGACACAGGGGAGAGAGGTCTCCTCCAGGGCAGAGTATGCTCTCAGAAGGGTTCCTGGTGGAGGACAGCCCCACTGACACTTTGAGGATAAGTAAGAATTAGCCAGTGAAGGGGTTGGTCACTAAACAAGAAGAGGTGGAGGAAGAAAAGAAGACAATATAACAAAGTAGGTGAGATACAAATGGTAGTCCTTGAAAACACACATAAAACAGAATAGCATTTAGGAAAGAAAAAAAGAAGAGGAGACAGAGAGGAAGATGATTGACAGCAAGTCTTATGCCCACTGACAGATGGTAGTGTGGAATCAGGTGAAAATGAAGTTCTCTACTATCCACTTATTCTGAAATATTGAACAGGTCATTTACTGCTTTAGCCCTCAGTTCTCTAACTTCAAAGTTGAGGCAATACTTATTTCATGTGAGAATAAAATGAGATAAACATGTGAAAGGTGCTTTATAAATTAAAGATTTTAAATCAATTTGAAAATATGTAAAAATGACAAAAGTAAAGGAAAATTAAGGCAATAAAAGCAGGAACTGTGAGSAAGGAGAAATGTAATCAAAGAGGGATAGTTGTGGTTGCTTTATCTCCATTGCTGCTCATGGAAATGGAAACAGCCCTGTGGCCCAGCTGTCATGATGTGGAGGTTGGCTTTAACATCCTTACTGAGTACTAGCAAATATTTTAAAAAGAAACACTGTGGTAGACCCTGTGCAGATTGAGGATATACATTTCTCCAAATGTGATTCTTTACTCTTCTTCGTGTTATTATTTTTAACATTTGGATTTGTATAGCTTTCAAAACTGTGCACTGAGGTGAAATTTTCCAGAGAGCAGATTTTTGTATAAAAAATATTTCTGCAATATGTGATTTTTCTGACTCTGATGGCTGTCTTGACATGGTAGGCAGGCTCATGGCAAAGAATTAGGAATCTTACATTTTGAAACAACAATGAAGTGGTAGCTTCTCTTTTTCAGGCATATATTTACCTTATTCTTTTAAAAATGTTGTTAACCCACACTTTTCAGCATCAGATTTCATTACAGATAGGTGTTGCTATTATAAAATCTTCAGATTCAGTCTTTGTTTGTATTAGCAGAATCGMGGAATGGAATTCAAGTAAAAAAATCCACCTTGGACAACATGTGGTGTTCATGTGTCCTAAAGTCTGTCAGTGAAAAAAGCCTTGTAGTCTTTTGTTTTCTTGCAGCCATGATCAGTTTTACCTCCAATCACACAATAACTGAATGCCCTGAAAGTGCTGAGAGACTCTGCCCACACAGCTTTGCCTCATGCTGAGAGCCTTGGTTGGAAGAGCTTGTCCCTGGGTTTGCCAGGCTTGTCACGTCTGCTGTGCTGCTTCTTCAGGGACATGCTGAGCAGGGTGAGAAGGTGACCTGAACCCAGACCCAGTTCATGAACTACAAGAGTGAGAGGGTCTGTGTCACAGAAAAYAAATAGTGCTGTGTGTTTTCTTAGTGTTCATACTGAATAGTAATAATCTCCTCAAGATTCTTGGCTGTTTCTCTTAACCCTAAAGAAATGTGATTGTTCCTGTTTTAGGGATTTCAGAGGCATCACTTAATTGTGGACTTTTGTTGTTACTTCTTTGGTCTGTGTTTGTGTACATGTGTCTGTGTATGTGTTTTGCAATCTTCTGAAGAATATTTTTGGCCCCATGAATGTGAATGTTATTTGATCAACAATAGAAGAAAAATAAATATTAAAAAAAGAAATAATAATGATGATAATAACAACAATAGCGATGATAGTTAGCACTTTTAAATCCTGTGCTGAGCACTTTTACAAAGATGTTTTTCTTTKGTCTGCATCTGTGATCCCCATTTTTCACCTGAGGGGAACTGACACAGAGAATTCCACATGAGGATCACCTGCTGCTAAGTGTTGTGGGCAGTTTTAGCCCATGCAGTTTTATTTCTGAGCCCATCGTTGATTTTTGCATTTATGAAAGGACAGAAAGCAATCACTGAATAATATTTCTGAGCCTATGAAAACCATGATGTTAAAACAACCTGGTGAGAATCGGGYCTCTCTCTAGGAACTGCCTTCTGACCCCTGCTTTCTTTCCTCTGTTGTTTTGGCTTGTGGTACCCAGCTTGTGGTAAAGCCTGTGTTTGCTGCATCATATCCAATTACATTTTGGATACCAAGGATTGCTTAAAAACTTCACTCTTTCTATAGTTATTTAATCAATGGGAACTGCTTTGCAAGCCTTGGAAATACCCAGCAACTCTTTTTATATTTGTTTTTATGGTCTAGGTTTTTCACCTTTTATTATATTATTGGATTCCTTTGTTCTTGAAAAAGCAAAATTAAAAATTAGAACACACTATTTCCTTGTGGCAATTTGTTGTTATTACAGTTGCTTTAGTTTCAGGTTTTTTTTTTCTTTCTGCAAATGTGTTTTATTATTTTCTGCTAACATTTCAATTGTACCAGCATCCTAAGGCAATTATAAGAGAGGTTATCATTTCAGAATTAGAAGGAAATAAAAGAACCGTTTAGACTGTCTTTATGCTTGTGTAATTCATTGTTGTTTTTCATATTTCTCAATTGTTTTCATTTTGTACCATGTTTGGCAATCATTTCTTTCAGAGCAACTGTAACGGGGGTTTAGGATTCTTAACATTTTATTTAATTTCTCTTTCTGTCCTTTGGGTTTACAGCCCTTTTTTTGTACAGTCTCTTTGCTAAACATTGGAGTTTCCCTTTATAATGCATTGACCTCACAGTCCAGTTTAGATCAGCAGGTCTAAAGGAGAGATGGATTGTGCYACTGTGCTGCTGATTAGATATGTTGCCATGGGGCCATTGTGTCTTTACCTGTGTAAAATCAAAAAGGCCCGTGGYGGTCATTGAGATGCACTTCCTATCACCCTGCTAAGGAATCTCTGCTGATGGGAATTCAGGAAGCTTCTAGCCATCTTCTTCTTAGGGGGACAGCCTCAGCTGCCTAGAGTCTCCTTGCCCTAGGATGTGCCCATTCCAGGACTGCCCACATCCAAAGATTGAAGGTGGCAGGAGCATAAAGGCCTTTCAAGGGCCAATTCCGATGGGCTGTCTATCTCAGACCTCTGGCAAGGATCAGGCTTTGTTGGGCCTGATTGCTGTGGTTGACTTATCCCTCTGCCCAACCTGATGCCACCACCTTCCTTTCACAGGTGTTGATTTCACCCAACCCTGCTTGCCAACCCAACTTTATAGGGACYCACATCTGGTGGCACTCAACCAAAACATTCTAGGCCCCTGCCTTGTGAATGATGTCCTGCTCAGGAGGGAGGTCCTGTGGCCATGGTAATGAGGATCTTATGCATTTCATATCATTTTGTATTTTTTCTATTCCTGAATTTTTGTTAGTGTAACTGAATGAAATCARTTGGGATTAACGTTTACCATTATAAATGTTAGCTCTACTTTGCTCCTAAAGTTAAAATACTTCTAAGATTATCACTTTTAATAGTTTTTACATGAGCTCTCTTGGCTGGCTGGTG